AAATTCATGTAACTTTTAACATATCTGCTGCAAGTAAAAAAATTAAAATCATGTATGAGTACGTGTTTGAAATATATCTGTGTTTGCTAGGAATACTATATTAAAATTTCAAATCGACTTTTATATATATATGTATATATATATAAAATTGCTTATTTTTAAAATGCTTCGAATCACATAAAAAATATATAATTAGAATAAACCCTTTTTTACATCCTTCCAAGAATTTTAACTCTCTATTTATCGTGTAATTTATTTGTATAAAAACAAAAAGCTGATAAAAACATGCCTATTTGAACAATTAAAAAAATATATACGGAAAACTTGGCAATGCTGTTGACTTCCGACATTAGGTTAGATTGCGGCTTGCTTTGTCCTGTGACACATGTGTGATTGAATATATGTGTTTGTAACCTATTGTTATGTTTTTAACTGTAAAAGACGTATATGAAAATAATATTTTAACCTCAATTAACTGTCAGTTACTAATGGCACTAGTCAATTACTAGTGCGCAACTCGAGTAGGAATGCCAACCTCATTTTCAGAATGCAACGTTGCCAAGTTATCGATAATCATTGAGCATAAAACATTAAATTACTTGCATTTTTAATAATAAAATAATAATATTTTGATTCATAATTAAAAATTAGCAATCAATGTTATTTTTTAATTTTAATAAATTATAATTATAATTAGCTTTTCTTATTATTAAAAGATTTTAATATATCTGATTGATATTATTAATGTAGAATAAAAATAGCGTATACCTCATCAATTATCACGCAAGTGTTCGATTGTATATCTTTAAATAAGGAAATGACAATTAATAATTTTTTTTTATATTTTTTTTATTTTGAGAACTATTAAATCTTTTATTAATAGTTATAATAATTTAATAATATTAGGTGTTGGAATTAATTCGTAGCGTTTTACAAGTGATGGGAAGTACTTTCATTAATGTATTTTTTAATGCTCATGTGAAATAAATAACATTCTTTCATTAAAAAACGCTACGAATTAATTCCAACACCTAATAATTATTATAAATCCCCTTTAGTTAATAATAATAATATTATTAAATTATTTATACATATAAAAGGGTAAAGAAAATTAATAAAATACTTTAAAATTTATTAGAAAAGAATATAATATAAATTTGTAAATATTAATAACATTTAATTTATATTTATCACTCTTGAAGTTAATCTTCTTGCTTTCATCCATTTTGCCGCAATGTTACTGTCTTTTGGAAACAAACAAAATTTTATTTTTTTTATTTTCACATTTTCACTGAGATTTTTATACTCTTTAACGCTGCATGCAACCACAAAAACATATTACAAGTGATACGTCAGTCTCTTTGTTTTCTTTATTATCATTTTCTAATATGGAAGACGATTTGTTCCGACTAGAGAGCCTATAATCAGAGTGGCGCCATACGAAAGATGACGTCATGTTTTAGCGAAATTCTATGAGAGAGAAAGAGATATACGGTCTCAGTCTATCCAACAGACTGTCAGTTTTAGGGTTAGGTGCAACAGCATTGAACGACACGTAGATACGTAAAGGTACTTTGATAAAAATAAAGTTATCGAAATTATTTTAGAAATATGATTGGATATACAATACCGTTTTGTAACAATTCATTAAAAAAAAGGATATGTTATGAAAATAATTCCGGAAGACACAGAATGCCGAATGAATTGGTTAAAGAATATAAATGGCAAATATAAAAATTGAATACCGTCAAAAAATTCATCTGTATGTGAGGTAAAGTAATTTATTCTTTATAAATAATGTATTTAAAATATTAAAATAAAAATGTAACATAAAATATACACATTGATTATAATATTTGAAGACACGGTAGTGTCTTGGCACTAAGTATATGTATAGTCACATTGGTTACGAATTTAATTCTTTCTCTTTTTGTCGTAATCAATTTCTTTTCAATTATATAATATTGCATTGTGAGTCTAAATCAAATAATATGATAATTACAATATTTAATATACAATATAATATTTTATGAAATGGTATATACATATATAATATTTTTCTGAATTTTTGATTTCTTTTATATTATTACAGATGCATTTTGCTCTTAAAATGTGAGAACAGAAAATGGATAATAAATACTAGTGCAAATAATGTGCAATAAATAACGTTTTGTATAAAGTAATGTGCAATATTACCAAATGTATTGCAATAGTACAAAATAAATGAAATTTTATAATAAATAATATATGTAAAAGTTTTATATACAATATTATATATATAATATTATTATTTTATATACAATATTTATTTATTATAATTTTTTAATTTTTCACAATTTTTGAGCATTTTTTAGCATAAATTCAAAATTTAGAAAATAATGCGTTAAAAAACTGAAGGGAATGGCTAAAACATGGCGGACCAATCACAAGTGATATCCATATGGCGTCACTCTGATTGTAGGCTCTTCTAGTTCCGATATATGTGCAGAACGGATCCAAATTAGTTATCTCATGAGCATACCTCTTTTTTATTACACCATGGAACTAACTTAATTTCACAAAAAAAAAATCATAAAAATCGTCACATCTTAAAAAGGATGGTTTTTAAGAGTTGTGAAACGAAAATAAAATGACAAATAACAAAAATGATGTTTGATTGTTATGTTAGGAATATATTCTTTTTGTTAATATTTAACTAATCAATTTTCTGCCAAGTTGAAAAATAGTTTTCCCTTTTTCTGAAGAACTTAATTTTTTTAATTGTGTCACTTTCGAAGAAAGGGAACAATGTACTTTCTCTTGAGAGGTTTGTGGAAAAAGAAAATTTTAAAAATTAAAAATGAGTAACAAATAAGATAATTTGTTCCCAAGGTGTTGTTGGATTAGATTTTGTTTTTCAAGTTGTATGAATAGATTTCTAATGTTTTAACCTTATTGGAAATTATCCTCGAGAGGGTATAATGATACGATCGAAATGATACATTGTTGCGTGTTTGCAATCTGTCATAAGAGAAAGTCTCGATTAAGAGCCAAGATCAGATCTTTCTCGCGCTGAATACTTGGCGTGAGAACCACGGAGATTTTCACCCTTTTGTTGGGTCACCCAAACCGACAGTTAAGGTGGGAGGACGAATAGAGACGTGGCGTAAAGATCTGGCTGTGCGATTATAATAGCGGCTGACAAGTGAGGAGCAAAGACTTGTTAGGACTTTACCAAAATGTTTCCAGTCGGAAAGCTTCAGAAAAGAAAGAAGTCTATAAATAGATACAAAAGTTTGTACTTGGAAAAGTAATGTTTTGTTGAAGTATCTAAAAATTTAGCTATAAAGATACAAATCTGAAAGTAAATAATTTTATTGCAGTCAAAATTATTATGTCAGATGTTTAAGCAGGTTGGATCTGTATCTAAATTTTTAGATACTTCAACAAAATCACTCTTTTCGTAGAAAGCGATCATTTCTTTATCGTTGATTTTAATTAAACCGAGAATAGTCATTTGATTTATTTATATGTAAACGATCACTTGAAGTTTTTATATATCAATAAAAAACACATATATTATTGATTGTTTATTGATTTATTATTGTGATAATATTTCTAAAAAATAACAATTTTTATTAATATAATGCTTTTTTATTACGGCTTTTTAATAGAATTGATTTAAAGATTTGTAAAGAATAATTATTAAAAAAAGAAAGACAATATGTTAAACAATATATTTGACAATATATAGTATATTACCTATTCTCGCTGTTGAAACATAAAACTATCTCAGATGACTGTTCTCGGATTAATAACGCACAGTTATAAGTAAAATATAAAAATAAAAATCAAATCTATCGAAAGTTGGCGATTTTAATTAATTTATAGTATAAATATTGCTGATCAATCGAGGAATTTCAAATTTCGGTTTCTTCGCATGAAGGAAAGTTGATGATGAATGGATTCGCGCAGGGATTTATCGGTCGCGAGCGCGACTTTAACGGCCGGCGAAGGCGGACGAGCGGCAACAAGGCACTTGACTAATGTTCTACCTGTTGTCCTGTAACACCTATACGTCCTACCTGTCCACTCACCCGGGGCCCCGCAGGGGCCCGCTTATATACGAGCGCACACGCGTGCATACACACGTGTGTCAAGTTAGAAAAAGGTGCTTCGCGCGCGAGGCCAGCTTAGCATTTCAATACGCACAGGACGATTCAATGCCGAGCGTGCGTGCGTGCGTGCGTACGTACATGCGTGCGTGCAGGAAAGAATATACGTTATGCGTGAGAAAGAGGAGAATAAACATCTAGGCGACGAGAAGGATACGAAGAGGGAAGGAAGAAAGAAAACGGCCACGTAAGAGAGTAAGCTTGACTAATGCCAACCGGGACCGCGATCGTCGTGTGATCATTACTCATTTGTCATTCGTTGGATCGGGGTCCCCTGAAATCAGCCGATGGGACGAACCCCATTGGGCCCCGCGCGTTGCGCACCGACAACCGGCAGCACCCCGTCGAGGCAACGTCTCGTTCAGCCATCTGTTGCGTTTATAGCTGCGCCAGCGCGATTATTTCTTTTACACCTTGATGATCCTTACTGATTGTGTTTGTGTGTATGCGTGTGTTTTATGATGTAATCCGTAAATCAGATCATTTGTCGATTGACGCCAGAAAGATTTGGAAGGATTAAAGTTCTTTAATTCTTCCGAT